CAACAGTCTGGGACTGTGATCACAGTGCTCTTGTTCCCTGTCGGGCTTATCTCTGTACCTCATGCTCATGCAAATCAGGGCAGGGAAGGAGCGGCACAGCTCAGCAACTCTGGTCGGCATGTCAGCAGAATGAAGGTAATCATGGCTGATGAATGGGAAGCTATAGGAAAAATGATTTTGCCATGGAAAGTTTTCATTGTACTGAAGCATAATATGATGCTACCAGCTTATGGAGAGCAGGATTGCTCGAGTATGATTTCTGGCAGGACTCTTACAGTCATGTGACCAAATGAGCTGGTCAAACCATCACCGTATCATGATGATTATGAGCAGAAGCAGGATAGATCATTTTCTTTTCCTTCACATACGTACTGTAAGTACAGAATATACATGAATGCTTATTTACGGAAATGTTTTACAAAAAACTAACATTATGGAAGGTCTGGATAACAGTGGATCGTACGGCTTGTTTAACAGGCTCCGTGAAGAAAAGTTTGTCTAAAACGAGGGAATTTTCCACAATCCATTAGTTGTATGTTGATATGGTATCATGAAAGAACATTATAACAAAGCATTTACAAATGACCTAAAACTGAGCTCTTTATTGTATGTAGATTTGCAGTTTTGTAATCATGGAAATGACCCCAAGCCTGCAATGGCCTGACTGGGGAAGATGGATGAATCACAGCGTCTGTGTAGGTCTTAGACTTATCAGGGCTCTTCCAGAGTTCCGCACAGGAGACCCCTATCTACATCAACATATGTGGTCTCTGTTTAACAACCCAGAAAGAAGATGGAACATTCTGGAGGAATGCTATGCAGTCACCAGGAGTCAACATTGATGGAATATCATTCCTTTGTAAATAAATATTTTATAAATTCTGTAGCCCTAGCCACATGTGGACTGATCTGAGCAAAGGCCAACACATGGAACATAGAACCTGAAGGTTAATGATGGCAGAACAGATCCTATCAACTGTACAAGAGAGTTGTCTATATATTATGTTCCATATATCAACACTGTAGGCTGTGAGCACAATTCTTTTTAAGGTGGTGGTCCAACCTTTGTAACACATCCTTGTGCTATATGATCTAGCCACCAGGGGGCACACTGGAAAAAACACAAGACATTTTAAGAGTAAATAAAGTTAAATCACTGTATTGCCAACTATTCTCCATTAACTATTAGCAAGACGTGATGTGGTTAAAGAACTTAGAGAGGTCGAAGAGTCTAGTGTCAAGTGGGGACCAGAATAAAAGTAAAATATGCAGCTGAATGACATAAATTTACTTTATATACACACATAAAATATTATATAACCACAATAAAAAGTGGGAGGTGGCATGGTGGTGCAGTGGTTAGCAGTGTGTGTATAGTTTGCCTGTTCTCTCCGTGTCACTGTAGGGTTTCCTCCAAGTACTCCGGTTTCCCCTCACAGTCCAAAAAATATGCTGCAGTTGATTGGAGCAGCCAAATTGTCCACGGGTGTGTATTTGTGAGTGTGTGATGTGTGACTGTGCCCTGTAATGGGTTAGAGCCCCGTGCTGGGTTGTTCCCTGTCTTGTGCCCATAGTGCCCTGTAATGGGTTAGAGCCCCATCCTGGGTTGTTCCCTGTCTTGTGCCCATAGTGCCCTGTAATGGGTTAGAGCCCCATCCTGGGTTGTTCCCTGTCTTGTGCCCATAGCCTCAGGGATAGGCTCGGGACCCACCATAACCCTGAACAGGATAAGCCGTGGCTCAGTGGTCAAACAACCTTTGATTGATTGATACTTTTTATTGAGCCCCGTGGGGAAATTGTCTTTTTACGCCTCCCTCGACTTGCTCCTTGTAGAATAAGCTGTCCGCGAAGGGCAGCAACCTGTTGGGGTGCCCAGAGAGCTGGGGGTTAAGGGCCACACGCTGGGCCACACACTGCCCCCTGGGTCCAATCCCCAGCATCTCCTGTGTGGCGTGCCACCTGCCCTGAATACTGGGGGGTTAGGGTAGCAGAGTTCACTGCTGGGCCCTTGAGCAAGGCCCTTAACTGTCAATCACATCATGGACTGTCTGATTCTGTTTTCAGTTGTATGTCGCATTGAATAAAAGCAGCTCCTACATAAATTTGCTGTAACTGATAAATGCTAAAATCAGACTCAGCTAAAAGGTGGACAGTAGTGGTTCTTAGGCAACGCATTTTACTCTGACAGAAAATACAAGTATGATCAATGAAGAATTTCTTAAAGGAGAAGAATAGAGATGAGAAATCTCCTAAAGACTGCTCTGACTTAGCAGTAAAGCACAGTTTCTGACATTTTTTATCTTTCCCACATTTTTATTGAGAATGGTTGGTTGACTGCCTTTGGTCACCAGAAGTCAGCATTTGTCTGATAAAGATTGTCTAGAATAAATTGGCTTGAAGATTGAAGGTTCTGGTCTAGGGACACCTGTAAATCCCCAGATTACTATCAGAAGGACGGTGCCGCCAGCATGTGACTAAGCCTGGGATTATTTGGGCACTTCTCGTTCCTTTTCTGTACTTTTATCAGATGCCTTGTCTATAATGTTACTTATATCTGAAAATACACTTTTTCTATGCCAAGTTTGCTGCAGTTTTACATTACCAATCTTTTTTGAATAACATATGCGTGACCACAATAACACTGCTCATTTTCCGTTCATGATTAAAAAACAAACAAACTAACTAACAAGGTCCACGACAATTATAAATGTGCCCATACATTTTGGGTGAACAGAAACCTGCTTTAACCTGGTCTGAAAATCAGCAATGGGCTGTTACAACAGCACAGCAGCTGAATGAAGACTTCAATATATTATTCATCCTTTCTGTGTTTTATGGCTTTCTATTCCTATGTGATTTTATTTGGTATCTCATGTAGGGTTTAAAGCCATTGAGCACAGAGTGGAATTTCAGATAGGCCTAATGGACAAGGATTTAGCTATCTTAGAGAGTATGGGCAACAAAAATAAAACAAAATACTTTAAAGGTATGAATGAAAACTAACAAATGACTTGATAACGAATACATCCTAAAAAGCTATTATTTTTTAATTCATGCGATTAAGCAGAATTAAGCATGGCACGGAATGCCGCGTAACTAGCTAAATACGTCACGATTTTGCCGGAAAATGAGCTTCTCGGCGGACGAAGGAGCGTCACCTGCCGGAGCAGTAAGGTCAGAGTCATTTTCAGGCGTTTTTATGCATCTTATTTAGGCCTGTGTCAGTATAATATGTAACCGCTTATTTCACCGTATCTGTTTGAATGTATCGTTGCAAAGTAGATGAATACTACAGGATGTAGGCTAAGAGTTTAGCCAGCTTGTAGCTCGCGAACCAAGATGTAACTGCGTTACTGTGTAGCGCCGACCTGTTTGCGCTTTCCAAGCTATTAACACTTTTACGTGGTTGTTCTTGTCTTTTCCCAACAAGTTACGGTAGTTTTCTGTGATTTTGCCGAAAATCAAATCGAACACATGTACTTTGTATAATTCAATAAATTAACACCAAAAAAGCCATTTTTTTTTTTTTTACTATTTAACCTTTAAATTGAATAATATAGGATATAGGCCTAAGTCATTATATACAATTAATTATATTCTGCTTTAAAGACTTTTTTTTTTTGGGGTGGGGACATTAAAACAAGTAAAGACAAAAAAACTAAAACTGTAGCGCCTTGGGGGCGGGGGTTGAGTACGTTACAGCGTTGTAAGCTCGCGCCATCGGAGGGCCAGCAGACCCCCCCGCCCCGGGCTGAGTGCTGGCAGAAGTCCGGCCTGAAGGCTGCCCCGACATGCCCTCGTTCGTGGAGGACCCCGCTCAGCTCTCCAAGCGGAGGCTCCGGTCGGAGCTGGCGGCGCACAGCGTGCCGCTGCCGGCCGCGGACAGTGGGAAGGAGGCGTACGTGGAGCTCTACCGTAGGCATGTCGCCGCCAGGTCGGGCGCCGACTTCTCAAGCGATGAGGACGAAGGCAGGGGGCAGGCGGGCGGCAGCGGCGTGAGTGGCTCCTCTTCTCGGTTTAAGGTGTAATCCGACTCGGACTTCATCGATTATGGTGTCTGTCATCTCGTAACCTTGGAAGATCTATCGTCTGTCGAAAACGGGGGTTATTTGGGCAACTTGCTTCTTAACTACAGGTGCGAGTGGCATTTTCAGAAGGCCCACGTTTAAGACCATGAATGGATTTTTTCCTATTTATGTTTGTGTCCCACATTTGCCACCCTGGCCATGTGTCTTTCTGTTTCAGGGCGCCTGTTAAGTGAGTAAGATGTTAAAATGCTAAACGTTGGTCGCGTTGTGACAGGCTGGCGGATTATTGCATTATCCTACACAAAAAGCGCAGCTCTGAATCGCCAATGCAGATATTATTAGCATGTCGCTGGGGGGAGTGTTTAACTGCAATGATCCGAGCTTACAGGATGCCTGGGACTTCAGCCAAGTTTTAAATGCGTTTCTACAAGGGAGCTGAGGTCAGCAGACAGGGACTAAGAGCAACCGTGCAGCTGTTGCAGTGTTGTGTCGTTGGAACCACGTCCGGTCGGGTTTTAAGTACCCCGACTTGGCTGGCCGGTTTAGGAGCCCCCATCCCCCGTTATTAATTACTCTGTTAAATGATCAAGTGTATCTGAATATGTGCAATTTTGTCTGAGTATTTTAAGTGTATAGAGCCAATAAGGTATAAATGATGATCACAGTTGCAGCAGAACTAAAACGGCATCATTAAATAAAAATATAAAAATAACGATGGCTTTTATTGCCAAAATGTGCTGAAATCAGCTGAAATTAGGCTTTCACATTATACCAAGTCAGTGTTTTCAGCTGGCACGAGGGCTGTCATTTTCCTGCATATTTATCCATTCTTATTCTCCAGACACTGACTAGAAATGAAATATCAACTCAAACTGGGAGACCGTTCCATCACGCTTTTTTTTGGTGCCTCTCTTTAAGGTGACGTGTCACATTTGTTAAGAGCAAAGTTTTGTAATGTTTTTTTTTTTTTTTTTTTGCAATGCGTGCCGTCTTAGGGCGGATAACCAATTTTTATTCTGTGTTAAAAACTGACTTCTAATGCTTTGAATCATTAGTCCGGAAGTTTTCTGAGAAACTTCACTTTCGTGAATCTCATGGTCACATTGCACATTCTGCTGGATTTCGCCTGGTGACACATGAGCTCGCTCGCCTTGCTCATGGGCGGTTCAGCCGCGGGAGGTATGTAACATGTCATGTGCTCCTCCTACAGATGCCCTATTTATAGTTCTGTTTAATTTTAAGCTGCAGTGTTGCCCACGGCTTGCCTATCATTTAATAACTGCCTCCCCCGCACACTGGAGTAATTTGTTTTGTGGTGCAGTGGGCAGCGACACCATGAAGCCGATTCCGGCTATCTCCGCACTTCTACTTCATGGCCGCTCGCTTACTGACATACCCGGCAGACGCCTTTGTCCTAAGCGACGTATAAGTGAAGCAAATGGCACGTTGCAAACATGTGCTGTCAAGGAGTTGACTAGGCGTAAATGCAGCTAGGCTGAGCTTCCAGTGAATGTCCAGGTACGAGGGTAAGCAGGACTGGAGCAGGAGCTACGCAACAACTTCTAACAAAGCAAGAACCTAATAAAGGACCAGAAGTGCAACAAAAGAACATTCAGAGAGCCTAAAGAGGCATAAATGTGAGCTTTAATGTCTTCATGAAATTAAAAACAAGTCCTTGAGACATGTCCAGATTGCATGTTCTGCATAATTAAGTGTCATTGTAATGATGCTTTAAAGATGTCCTTGTTGGGTATTGTCGCAGAATTCTCCTCCTTGGTACATCTGCTTGCACTTTACTCCAGAAGAACACAAAGGTTTTCTCTTGTTTAAGTGACATTTCATGTGCCTCATAAAACTTCATGTTAAGCTTTTCAGTATTATTCAGCGATATGTGCACATCCATATTTTTAAACTAGACCCTGAAATTTAACCCTTCTGACACACAAACTTATGATGTGACACTCAGTTGTTTCTCAATGCTAGAGGGGAAGCTGTTCAATACATTTCCGCTGGCTGTGTTTCCTTTAGGAAGAAGCCAGCATTCGGGACGAAGGGCAGAAAACGGAGTTAGAAGTGATGGATGTGAGCCAGCTGACTGACGTGGAGCTGAAGGCCAGGCTGCTCCAGTACGGTGTTAATGTTGGGCCTATCGTCGGTGAGACACATGGCTCAGCAGCAGATTTTATATACTGGTTAGGGCTCTTTGATTTATGGCAAAAATCATAAACTTGATTATCTTGGTCAGCAGTGAAATTACAGTTATTTAACAGGATAACTCATTGACTTTGGAAATATCCTGCATTCATTGATTTTCTTTTTTAAGAGTGGATTTCCAAATATAATTAAAATGAGAAAAAAGGGGCTGGAAACGGCTGCGCTGGATTTATAACACAAGTCAGAATGGGAATGTCATTGTGGCATGAAATGTCGCACAATCATTTTATCACCATCATTTTGTTTTGATAATCGGAGGCCAGAATTGTAATTGAAATAATAATTCGATGAATTACCCAGCCCTAATACTGGTACACACATGCCCACATCTTCCAGATAGTGCTGGCTCTATCAGAACCTATATCCAGTCAAATTGTATGACTGAAGCCTACAGAAAACCATTAAGTGACCAGTATAATCACGGCCAGACTTTTCTGGTGAAGAGAGGAATTGAAAAGTAAAGAATTACTGGCTTCCATTTTTCTTTACACGTGGCCTGTTTAAATGCTTTCTGCGTATTCAAAATGAAAACATTAAGGTTGGAATTGGCCATTAAAATCTGAGTGTTCTTGTGAATTTAGTGGAATTTTTTTTTCCCTCTCAATTGAGCAGCTATGCTGATTTCTCTTCCTCCTGATACCACAGAGACCAAATTTTGGGGAGAATATTGTAAAACACAGATGTAAGCCTGTTAGACACGCTGTTCTAAAAAACATTCAGTTAATTAGAATCGGTTCATGTGTGTGCTTGACATTCTTTGTAATAGTTGAATACGAAGCGTTTTTCTTCGGAAGCTTATGGCGTTCCATCTGTTTGTGTCAGCTTCCACCAGAACTCTGTATGAGAAAAAGCTGCGGATATTACTGAAGCCTGTCTCACAGCCCCCACTCAATGGTGCTGGATATGCAGCCCAGTACTCTGATGTCGAGGATGAGGATGAGGATGATGATGATGATGATGAAGAACGTGATTATGGTGTGAAGAAAAATCCTCCTTGTTTTGTTTGCATTGGAAGCAATGAATGTTTTTGTAGGCAGCTGTTTAGCTAAACCAGGGAATTGAAAATCTTTTATATAAAATTGTTTGTGTATACAAATATATTTTGCTATAATACTGTTTTGTTTAAATATCATTATATAGATAAGAAATTGTTTTTGTACGAGTACACCAAACCTTAATTGGATTACATTCTTCTGATTTCTAATTACAGGTTGGTCTCAATTCAGCAGTTTCAAAGCCCTTTGAGAAACATTGCGTGTTGCATTTTAAGGCTGATTCCCTAAGATGTCATTGTGCGTCCTCTCAGGCTCAGTACACGCAGGGGGCCACCTGGAGGCTGACGAGGAGCAGGACCAAGAGGGACACAACCAGGTGAGGACGCCTAGCAGGGCATCTTTTGATACCTCTGTGCCATCTTAAAGCTGCTGCTCTGAAAGTTAAAGAACAGTACAGTTTTTGCCACTCTTGTTATCAGAAATCACTGGTTAAATAAGATCTATAGCCTACAACATTGTTTCCCAGTCTGGTCTTTCGGGACTCAGGAGTGGGAGGGAGCAAAAACATGGACTGTGGGTCCCCAAGGACCAGACTGGGAAACACTGGCCTAGAATGTCAAATCGGCAGTTTTTCTAAATTTGTCTAAGTTCAGCTTTTAATTTCCTTACGTATTGCTTTCGCTCTTAGTACTGGTATCCATCTGTTTCTTAAGTTGAGAGCTGATTATGGGAAAGCAGGACTCAGTTGCTCATTTCCTTTTACTGGACAGGTGGGGCTGCGCTTTCAGGGTGATGCCAGATACTATCCCCAGTGTTTTTTGCCCTCTTCTGGAATGGTAACTTCATTATAACCTGATTACACCATTTCTTTCTCTTAATGGCAAAACCTGAGAGAATTGCAGATTTTGCTTTATGGACTGAGAGAGTGAATGGTGCCCTTTGATTCGTCCCTAAATGTTGAACCAGATATCTGCTGTTTGACAATAATGTGACTGCGCGTTCTCTGAGGTGTGGCATCACCGCCGTCGGCAACACGATAACCTTCCAACACTGGCTCATTGTTTATCTGCTAGGTGACCCACATTCTGCACAGTGTTGTGTAAGACTCTAGCCCAGTGGTGGCCAATCTTATCCGCAAAGGGCTGGTGTGTATGCAGGTTTTTGGGATAACCTGTAGGTCAGCTGTTCAAATCCAGGTATGAGGACTCTTCAGCCAATCAGTCCTCTAATTAGTAATCTAATTAGGGAGCTGCAGTGAAAACCCGCCACACACACCGGCCCGGTGCCTCCACTCTTGTGCGCGTGCGTGCGCGTGTGTGTGCGTGCCGTGTGTATATGCTACTGTCGTGGAGTGCAGAGACCCTGAGCCCATGGTGGATTTGCATGCTGTAAACCCAAAGGGGGATCCCATCAGCCTGACACGCCGCGGTGCAGCGAGGGGCCGGGCCCAGACGTCCAGACCCCAGAGAGAGCCGAGTGCATCAGGGGTATTTTTTTTTTGTTCCTGTCAATCACAGCAAGCCGCCTCCATCTGATTGGGATGCATGGTCACCTGGGTGACACGGCAGCGGGGGCCACATGCACCAAACCTGGCTACTGAAATGCAGACTCATCCAAACTTCCCTGCCCATACTGCTGTATGGTGGGCAGGTTAGGGTTATTCACACCAAATGGCTACTTTGTGCTTATCCTTGTAACACAAAGGCGGAGGGGGAATCCTGATTAATATTAATGAACCAGGCTGTGATCATTCCGACAACACAATTCTTGGGTCATTTTAATACTATTTGCATAATTGAGCAAGTTTGGATGAGATATATATATATATATATATAAATTTTTAAGAAATTGTCTCTCAGCTTCTCTCTCCTCACCTTTTCACATCTTTCACTCCTAAGAGGTGTCTCAGTAGTAGTTCTAACCGCTTTTGATGCACAGCTCTATGCAGTTGAATGTGAACGGAAGCATACAAACCTCTATTCTCCTCTAACACGGTCCTTGCAGATGAGCCCCCGGCAAGCATCTGTAGATGAGCTCAGGTCCCCCCATTGCACCTTCCAGTCCTTCAGCATCACTCAACTGGTCGAAGAGGAAAGTGCCTCTTCCTTGACGTCCATTCCCACTAAGAGTTAACTAAATCACCGATTACTCTTCACATGGATGTGCCTGTTCCTTTCTACAGATTTCATCTAACTCTACCCTTTACCTGTTGTGTACTGGAAGTTAACCATTCAGGTTCCACAGAAGTTGTCGTCCTTTGCGTAGCGTGCATGTCATATGGCTTCTGTTTGGTTGGGAAGGCAGCACTGTCACTGTAAATCTGACGTTGCAGCTTCAAGCTGTGAGTGAAGAATTCCATCAGACTGGTCTGCTTAGGCTTTTAAAATTTTATTAATTATTATTTTCAATTAATGATATCGGTGATACTTTTATTGACCCAAGCCCAGCATTACTGGAGACAGTGGTTGAGATGGTGCTTAGGCTACTGCGATGCTACTGCTAATTTTGGATATATTTTATAAACCTATGTGTCAGAAGATTCCGGCCTGCTTTCCATGATGTTCTGGAGGGCCGGTCCGCTCAGACACACCTACTAAACCTGACAGTTGGCTCTTGAGCTGAATAAGGTGTGTCTGAGCGGGGAAATCTGCAAACTGTGTTGCAGACTGGCCCCCCAGGACTGGAATTGGAGAACCCTGGTGTAAAGAAGATATTTATGAATATTTTTTCCACTAAACTGCAGCTGGAAAGCAGGAGCCCTGACATCAGCAAAGTAGCGACAGGCACCAAGGTTGGTGTGAACAGTGAAATGCCACTGGGGCCCAGCAGCCAAATGGTCAGTACCGGTCAACACGGCAACTGTCATGTGACCTTCTCCAGGCCCTGGCCATTGTAGTAAAGGCCATGGAATCGTAAGCTTCTGCTTCAGAAGCTCTGCTGTCGTAACCGTGAAGGTGTTTAACTTGAGAGCTCAACTGTGGGTTAAATCTAAGCTGCTTTGTGTGCAGCTGTCAGCTGAGCAAAAGAAGTAATTGTGACTTCTTCCCTCCATTTTTCGTCCCTCAGCAGTTTCTTCTTTGAATATATTACTAAGGATATCTAGATCAGTGCAGGTCCCTCTCATTCATATTTGTCGGTCGTCTCTGTTTTTGCCTGTGAGGCAGACAAACTTGCTAAATCAGCAAACGCAAAAGTTTCTTTTCAAATCGGCCTGTCAGATTCCTTTAAGGTTTTGTGCCTATTTTTTTATTTAGATTTTTTATTTTGCCTGGGTTTAAGGTCTGTGTGATGGTAATGGAGAGGAGAATTTGCATTACTTTTGGTGTTTTCATGCCATTGACAGGACCTGATGAAGGACAAAAACGCCACAAGAAAATCGCCAGCCTTCAGTCCCAAACCATCTGTGTTCAGACCTCAGTTCAAGGCAAATGCATGGTTCCACATATACTTCTGTTTGTTCAACGGCTTTATTTTTAATTATAATGCATACATTCCTGTAAAAGTAAATTTGTCTCATCTTCATATATCATCAAATAAGAGAATTTTGCAGGTTTTTTCTGTATTACTGGTTTTATTCCTGTATAATTGCAGCTTTATATTGTTTGCCGGGAAATAGCTGTAGATTCTACTGCTGGTACTGAATTAGTTCAGTAAGCCAGTCTAAGATACTGCTTGCCAGTCCGGCTTAGCTCTGCTTTCTCCACGTCCCACAGGAGCCTGTGAGTGATATTCTGATGGAGATGTTTCCCGGGACAGAACCGACTCCCACTGGAATAAGGTCAGTGTAATTCCTGAACCCGATAATTAATTTTTTTTCTTGTCGTTTGGCTTGTTTGACAGGTAAAAGGATGTAAAAATGAAATGGTCCTACATTTACCATTTACACTTTACTGAATGTTTTTTTTTTGTTTTTGCATTTTAAGAAATGTAATGCTATTTGCCTGTAAATAATAAATTATTGTAAGTTTATGAATAATTTACAACTTGCGCATTATTAAAGTACAGTCTAAAGACTAATACCAAATGTGATAACATTAATTTCTGATACAGCTAATAATTGGGGCTTGATTAGCCAGACGCAAGCTTCTCAAAATGGGTAACTGCTTCCCTAGCAGGTTGTAGGGAGGCATCATGGGATATGTAGTGCAGCTCTGCTAACAATGTGCCCTCCTGCCCTCTAGTGCCACCTGCCGCAGGCCCATAAAAGGGGCGGCAGGGAGGCCCGTGCAGTTCAAGTACCCTGACACCCCGTCCAGCCCCGGTACTAAGGAGAGGCGGGAGCTTCAGCGCCATCTGGTGCCGACATGGATCCAGATGCTGGTCTTTCTGTTGGTGGCCTTCCTCTTCTACCTCATTTTCAGTGCGATGCAGGGTGTCCCGGACAGTCCCTCCGCTGTGCTGCTTCACCGTTCTGGCCATGAGGGAGAGTTGCTAGGGGATCTGTCATCCTTTGCCACCTCAGAGGATCCTCCCTTGGTCTCTGGGGAGGAGTAACTTCTGCTACCTCGTTCTGGCTCTTTCTATTGGTTTCCGTAGCAACAAAGGGAAAATTTTGCCAGATACACAAACACTGGCTGTCTTTTATAAAGCTTAATCTCCATGTAAAAGAAAGGGGGATCCTTGAATTGGATTTATTTGTATATTTTTTTTTTTTGAATGGAAATGAGTAAATACTGAATTTAAGAATAGTTTGTTTTATATGATGTCTGTGTGTTTTCACTATGAGCCAGAAGTGGTTATAATATGGAAATAGTAGAAGCCAAACTGCTGTCCATTTACAGTCATGTTTGCAGTCCTGTCTAGGCAGGTAAGAGGAAGCTCAAGACGGATGGTTTATCAGAACGGCAACCACAGCCTGGAGAAAGTGATCTTATACATTTTAGTCTAAGGACCTTCACCACTCATCATTAAAGGATTTAACTTGTGTTCTTGTGTGTTTCAGTATAATGATGCTACATGCAGACAAAATCCAAAATTTACGTTTGATTTAGGACGCATATTTGGTTTTGTTTTTTGAGCATCTTTTTTTTTTTCTTTCAAGTAACAACATCAAAACAAACCACAACGTAAGATATAACAACAGATCTATCTGTTTTTGAATAATGTAGATGTTCTGCTGACCAGAAATGGGTATGTTACTATGTCTCGTTGGGATTTGTTTTACTGTTGTTACTAGTTTACGGACTCGTCTGCTGCCACTGCAAACAAGTACCTTGTTCGTGTGATAACTCAAAATATTTTAACTTTTTCAAACTTTGCAGATGCATTGCATGGGTAAAGACCTGGAACTGATCAAATTTTCAGACAAATCACAGCAAAACGGGAGGCGCTGCATTAGGTGCCAACTAAGTAAGATGGGGCCACCTACAGAAGATATTTGATCTTGTGACAGATGTATCTTTTTCAAACTCCCCAGGAACATCTGGGGACATTTTGAGACAAAAAGAACCAAAATTGATCTACCTTTTTAGGGACCCTATAGGCAAAGCTTTAATGGGGAGGAGAAAATGATCTTGTGTATAGTTTTACTTAAATTTTTATTTTGAGTAATTGTATTTCTAACTTAGATATGAGTATGTGGATTTTCATGATTTTCTCTGGGCCTCTGTGCAAATCTAGCCTTAGGCGGGTGCCTGGATCCAAACCTGCGGCCGCATATTGATGGCAAATGGAAGGGCAGCCACATACACTTCATTAGTGTGACAACTCAAAAAGTATATTATTGATCTTTCCAAATTTCACACGTATGAAGTTCTAGAATTGGTAATTTTGAGACAAATCACACCAAAACAAAGCAGCACCCCTTATTGCAGCAAAAAGAAGGGTAATTAGAGAAGACACTTAATCTTGTGAATGTGAAAACTCAAAAAGTATTTGATGGATTGCATTGCCAATTAAAAAAAAATAATTATATGGAAGAAGGTCTATGCCAGATTTCATTTAGAGGCTAATCACACCAAATTGAAGCATCACTAGGTGGCAGCAAAGGAAGGAAAGGGGGGCAGCTGCAGAAGACCGTTAACATTGTGAACACATTAACTGTAAAATTGAATTATCTTTTTCAAATTCCCTTGGGACATTGTATAGGCGATGATTTGGCACTGGTTTATTTGAGACAAATGGAAGCAGTGACACTTAGCTGTGTCCCATAAAAGGACAGCCAGAGACACAGATCTAGGGATCCTGATTACGCTGAGACAAAGATTTCTTTGCAGTGGTGTGGAGAGTGTGTTGGGGTGTGGAAGGAGTAGGGATTAGATGGAGGGAATGACGGGGCCACCCGAGAAATACATTGTATTTACTACAGTATGAAAAATTTAAATGTGATACCGTAGAATGCAATAAAACAAGTCATAGTCGCCATGCAAAGGTTATGTTTTTAAATACTTATGTTCACGTAAGACTTAAACGGTAGGTAAATGGATTCCAGTAGCGTTGTGTTGAAATTAACAATAAAAGCGAACTAACCTGACAGCTACCTTACTCAAATTACTGAGCACAGATTAAGATCTTTAGGTTTTGCTCGAGTCGTCTGCCTTTGTTTTTATTTTTTGTAGAGACATCTTTGAAAAGCTGTTACTTGGTTTCATTTCAATATGTTACATCTGACTGCAGTACGCCGCGAAGCGTGTAACCGGTACGGATTGTATTTATCGACAGTTGACGTCACTTTTATTTTGAAGCATGTAACCGGAAGTCTTGCCGCTCGGTTTATTCACGCTATTCGAACGACAGCAAGCGGCACTAATATGACTGGTCAGTCGAGAGGACCGAAGGTGCTTGTATTTCTGAGAATTGCATTTCTAAGCTTAATACTGGTCTTGGTTGTCCTGCTACTTGTTGCTACGATCCGGACGTTTTCACTGGATGTTAATTCCGGGCTTCAGCTCGGAAAATGGGAGAGAACAGCCATTATCCCAGAGCATATAAGCGCAGCACAGAGAGAGCAGCTCCTAAGCAATCTGAAAGGTAGCATACATGCCACGGCTTCCACTCTGTCACTTTGCAGACTCCCGTTACTATTTTTAGTCTTAAATCGATAAGCCAGTGATTCAGTTACATTATTTTAGACTTGTCACAGTTAAGTTTGCACTGAAGACAACGCAACAAATAACATGAATGCACTTTGAAATTTATTGTCAGTAATATGGTTACTGTAACTTTGAGAGTTGCGATAATCTTGCACAAAGCATATTGTGGCTGGATTGCTATTCTGACGGATGAGTACATGCATTAATTCGATTATGTATCTGTCGTTAAGAGGCCATCCAGATTCCCACCGTGTCATTTGCGGAGAACGACCTGAACACGACCGCGCTGCAGGAGTTCGGGCGCTTCCTGCAAAGAGGTGCGAGCCGCGCCAATGCCGCGCCAACGCCTCGGCTCCTTGTCCACGCGTGTAGCGCTTAACTTGTAATAAAAGCTAGGTACTGCTAACGCGATTGAAATCGGTTAAGGTCATATGGAGATAAGAGCATTCTCTGGGTCTTGTGTTGTTTGAAGATATGAGGGACGTCAGCAGATATCCGCTTTCCAAAAGTCTCCAAAAACATTATATCACGATAAAGAAAATCACTGAGGCACTTATTTAGATGATAAGGTGGCATTTATCAGTAGCACTTTACACCAGGTATTGAAAAACAATTTACTATCCACATGTAATAAAACTGTGCTGTGTTATTTGCTCTGGTTCAGGTGATGCTGACCTATTTTTCTTGGTCACCAGTGTTTCCTGCAGTGTTCTCTTCTCCTCTGGTGAAGCATGAGGTGGTGTCCAACTACAGCCACCTCTTCTGGATGCCAGGCTCGGACTCCTCCCTGCAGCCTTACATGCTGCTTGCCCACATCGATGTGGTTCCTGCCACGGAGAGCGACGGGTGGGATGCTCCACCTTTCTCCGGAGAGGAGATAGACGGGTTCATATATGGCCGGGGAACCATCGACGACAAGAATTCCGTTGTGGTGGGAATCCTACACTATCAGTCATGATGATCACACTCACTGATGGGCAAGACAAGGCCTGCGGGCCCCTGCCTGCGGGCCCCTACCTGCGGGCGATCGTTTGCCTTGTCTGTCTCTCCCTTCTGCTTGCGTTACTTTGCCGCTTCCCTTTGGGTAATCACGGATTTCATAGACCACCTTTTCCCGTCACTTCTGACAGCTTCGGTCACAGTTCAGATCTCAGTTGTCTTACACCTGTGGGGAGTGGGAGGCAGCAGTACAGATTGGCATGCTGTGGGTAAGGCGGGCAGCACGCGAGAGACAGACAGCATTCGGTCAAGGGCATCCTGTGAGCCCGCTGTGCTTGCCTCCATCAGCCGGCGCCTTTCACGTGGTCGGTGATGGTTGAAAAACATTTATTGGAGAATCGGAAAGGCGTGTTGTGCCTCTCTGCCCTCAATTTCCATACAAAAGTAATTTTCTAGAACCAGTGTGTAGACTCTTATTATTGAGACTTATTGACTACAGTACAACTCATGATAAAACCACTGTATACATTTGTTGCAGTGACTGACAAGGACATTTTTGTCTGTAAATTAAGGGAATTTTGCAGGCACTGGAGTACTTGGTCGAGCGCGGTTACGTACCCAGACGTGGCTTCTATGTTGGACTGGGTCATGATGAAGAGGTGAGTGAGTTAATGCAAATCCTTTAACTGATAACAACCCTTAATTTGCATTTAAAACTGATGAAAGTTTAATATCGATGCTGTCGCTCCATCAGAATTTCAGCTGTAACCATGGACGCTGGAAGAGTTTTTAAATATGCATTTATCCACATTAATGGGGAACGCGGGGTGTGATTTCACATTGGCAGGAATGAAGAGGGACAGGCAGCATGTGCCCCAAATACAGAACAAGTTATAAAGAGCCTGACTGTGGTTCTTGAACTTGGAACACAGTTAGCAGTGTTGTCATGTGGTTTGCGCCAGGTGGGGGGCCACAACGGAGCCAAGAGCATTGTGAAGTTGCTGGAGTCGCGAGGGGTCAGCCTGGCTTTTGTCCTGGATGAAGGTCTGGCTCTTCTGGATGGAGTCATCAGTAACCTGCAGGGGCCAGTTGCTCTGTGAGTCTCCCTCATGTGCTCTCTGGGGATTTAGGTCCTAGGTAGTGTTAGTAACACCTTCATGGAACCTGTGAAATGGCTAGAGGACTACTGTCCCCCATGAGGCTGTGAAATTAGTTGCCAGGTTTGCTTTCTGATTGCCTTTTGTTCCAGCAGTTCAGGGTTCAGCCGATGGGCTTTTATAATGCGTGATCGCCCTCCCCCCTGCAGAATCGGAGTCACAGAGAAGGGGCAGGCCACGGTGAAGCTCAGCGTCACCGCCCTCCCCGGCCACTCCTCCATACCTCCCAGAGAAACCAGCATCGGCATCCTTGCTGGTGCAGTTACTAGGTAACACCCAGTGGGTTCCTTAGGTCTGTTTCCATGGTATCCAGTTGTGTACGCAGTGGGTGACGTAGGGGGATAGGTTTAGACAAACACACCCTAAAGTTGTTAAAAATGCGTGTTTAAATTGAACACTGATTCCTTTATTTGGAAGCCATCCCAGTGATCTGAGCTGTTTATTAATATCATTTTTTAAATGGCACATTGTTTATTACTGCATTGTTTACTTCTGTCAACTTACTCAGTTTTATCATTTGTGTATATTGTTGTTTTTAGTATGGTCTGGTTGAGCTCCATGCTGTCTGTCTTTTCATCATCTGTTGGATTTTTACCAGTTATTATTATTATTATTATCAGAGATGGACATATCTTGTACGCAAGTATGCACCTTTAAAAACGATACATGTGGCAATCGATTGTCTGTAACAGTGTAAATGCATAGTTATTTTATGTGCATTTGCACTGATATGACAAATAAACACCTTGCATTTTAACCTGTATACCGCAAATGAAGTAGATTTAGCATATAAAGATTAAAATGCATTATATTTTGTTTTCATATCATATCATCTAAGGTTATCTATTATTATTCTCTAATGTGTACATATTTAATATAAGTTGAAGCCATAGAGGGCGCCATTTCCTCGGAATGACTTCATGGCTGAAAGCCTTGTCTTTTCCCAGACTTGAGAAGAATCCCATGCCTATGCTGTTTGGCTACGGTCCCGAGCGCAGCATGTTCGAGCATCTTGCGTACAAGGTCAGGCTTTTCACCTGAGGTCCTGAACCCCTATCTCAGCTGTCCACAATAATAATGGCAGATTACTGACTGACAGATTTACACTGTATCACCGGACTGTACCAAAAGTAAGGCATAGGGGCCTGCTTTGTATTTGCCTGTCTGCTCTACAGTCACTTACTGTGGTTTCTCTTAACAGTTTACCCTCCCGCTGAAGTTTATCATGTCCAACTTGTGGCTGTTTTCTCCCCTGCTTGGAAGGTGATTACAGTTTCACATGGAATGGTATCGTCTTTTTCTGATGTGGTTCTTCTAACCTCTCTGGCTTTGTTGTCTCTGCAGGATAATGGAAAGGAGGCCGGAAATGAATGCTTTTGTCCGTACGACCACTGCTGTCTCCGTGTTCCACGGAGGGGTTAAGGTGCTACATTGTATTTGTCTGAAATTTGCATGTGTTCATTGTTGCATTAACAACCCTCTTGCCACATACCAGTTATTTCCTCATATTTGTTACTCTTGTTTACTTACTTGTTTACTGTTACCGGTAACCTCTGTTTAACCTAAAGCTTATAGCTTAAGAGTCCTCAAGCCCGACTGTTTTACTCTTTTGACATCTTCCTGTTTTTTTGTTTGACAAAAATTTAGTCTGGTATGTAGAAAGTTTTATTTTCCATCCTCTCAAATTCCAGTCTGTAGTAATTATGGCTGTTCACAGATCAAGCTGGTTTTGAGATATCTAACATCCGTTTATTCAGAAGAGCACTTGCTCATGCATGGGACTGAGAGTAAATAAATGTCAGGAGACCTTCTTCATATCCATGATTCTGGCCTTTGTTTGCCAACATGAAAATAACCCTTGTGTGTATTGTCAGGGGTCGGTGATGATTCCTCTGGCTTCCATGCTTTACAGGTTAACATCATACCTCCATATGCAGAGGCATTTGTGAATTTCCGCATCCACCCTGCACAGACATTACAGGAGGTGAGTAACCCCCCATCTTCCGAATCACTGCTGGATTAGAGGGTGGGAACAAAAATGTTGATGGGATGGGTTAAGGCAGAGTTCCATAGATGTACCACAGGGTAAGATAATTCATTAAGTGGGATAACTGGAGACTCAAGAATGACGGGAAAAGCACCCGAGAGCTTTGATGCGTGAAGGTGGTGTTTCTGTGTCCAAGCATTTCAGGTAAGGGCTGATATTGAAATCCTGCTTCAAAAGAATAGTTTCACACCCCTGAACCAGGCAAATGAATGGGATAATGAATGAGATTGGATTCTTGTACATTGTTACTCTTTCTTTCCTGTTTTCCTAATGTCCTGCCTCCACCCGTGGCTTCACTTACTTCTCATTAACACCACTCAGCGTCCATTGAACCTAAATGTAATATAATATAAGGTATTCGCTAAAATGCTGTTAAACCAGTGGTGTCTGTTTTCATCTACGTAATACTGACCATGATATTGATATGACTATATTTCTCTTTGTATTATGTGTGGACAGTCGGTCTGAGAAGGTGTTGGCTAGCAGAAGGACACACGAGCAGATGACGTTCAGCTTTCCATCCTAGGTACTAGAGCTAATCAACGGGATGGTGGATGACGAACGAGTGAATATTGAACTGGTGGATGGATTTGACCCGCTGCCTGTAAGCTCCTACGATGACGAGTCCTTTGGGTACCAGCTGATCAAGAAAACGGTCCTGGATATGTTCCCACATGTGACAGTGGCCCCAGGTAGCACTGCCTAGAGATCCAAGCCAATTGATGCTCAGCCACTCATATGGCAAGTTAAAACTGAACAGCAGAGTTGTAACCCGTATCCATGGTCACTGCACTTTTTTTTTTTTTTTTGTCTAGGGTTGTGCATCGGAAACACAGACAGTCGTCATTACACTACGCTGACCAAAAACGTATACCGCTTTGCCCCTGTCTGGTTTAAACCAGGGGACACAAAGAGGTTAGTGTTGTGGACTGGAAGACATTATTATTTCAGTTTAAACGGGCAGTTCACCCCCAAACTAAAAAAGGTGTTTTAAAGGGGCTTTACTTCTTTTTATCCACATAGCTTGTTCTCATTTCGGAGTTACTGGAAATGTCGGGCTTCTCTTGGACGTAATGGGAGTGAATGGCGTTCTTTCTGTGGTGATTAAAGTGCCAGAAAAGTACATTTGAAAAATCCAAAAGCGAAAAATCCTTCATGTATCTGACCAGAAATCATGACCCCGTTACTGAAGATAATCCACAGACTTTGCAGTGAGCGGGTTAATGTAGGAACAATTTTCTTGTACCAAACTCCACACACTAAGCACTGGGATGCTTGTGCTCGTATTTTCTGCACAGCTCCCAGTAGAACAACATAGATGTATAGATAGTACTAAAGCCCCTGTAAAACACACCTTTTTGGCTACAAAAATTATTCCTGGGGTCTCATTTACGAAACTTTGCGTAGAACTCACACTAAAAGTGTATGTGCGCTCAAAAGACGAAAATGACGGACACAAAGAACAAGTCAGATTTATGAAAACGTGCACACGCTCACCTCCAAGCAATATAAGCTTTATAAATCGCACACTACCTGGGATTGTACACACGTGGATTTGCCGCATATTCCGCCCTCTACACGCCCCCGTTCAACCATACATGGTCAATGCAAATCACCTCATGCATATTTAAGCATCTGATGTAAACCTAAAAAACTCATGGCATCATGGCAACCGAGGGAAAAGTAAGAAGAGAAATTTTTCTGAAACCGAGATAGATGTGCTTGTGGGTATGGAAGCCCGTTTCCGCCACCGTGGGAAAAAATATATATAATTTAAATCGAAATTTCAACTTGGTTATCTTGTTATTTTGAGATATTATCTCGAAATTTCTACTTAGTTATGTCACTATTTTGAGATAATAAGTCAAAATTTCGGCTTAAATTATACATTTTTCTTTTCACGGTGGCGGAAACGGGCTTCCATAGGTATAACAACCGGCCACCTGATGCGTGCAAACATCGCCATCTGAATTTCAGTAGGCCGATCGCACGCTCCGCAACAGTGTGCGCACGAGCGTGAGCACGAGCGTGAGCATCGTTATAGCGATTTTCCTGTGTGCTCTGGGGGTTTGAAAGGGAAGTGAGGGGCCAGCGCTTCAGAGGGTAGCCGCTGTCACCTGCATTTCATAACATAACGATTCAATGCATGAACAATGAATAGTTATAAATTACACAATGTTTTTATCACCTTACCGAGAAGCTAGCCATCGCGCACAGCGCCAGCCTGCAGTCTCCTCCCTACACTGCTGTGTTCCGGGATAAACGAGTCATGTGTTGAACCAGGCCATCGTGCAACCACGTTTGTCAGGACCATATCAGCGTCACAAATAACTTGCACATTTATAGAATGCACATGTTCACATAAATAAATTCGTTTTCATATGGAGCCTTCATTGCAACGTGAGTGCAGTCAATTGCGCCGATTACATTTGGGAAACCGGACATTGCTGCAAATTGCCCGTTGATGTTGGCCAGTTCTCCCACAGTGTAAGGGAATTTAATGTATCTACTGGTCATTTTAATAATCCCATCCAAAACGACAGGTATTATTGAGCTTAGTGACGGTTGTGATATCCCAGACCTAAAATACAATTAAACACAAGGATAAGCGGTTTGGAAAATGGATGGATTTATCGATAGATTATTATTGTATTTCCTAAACTAGCTTTAGCACAAATTCACAGTTTTATTGTTAATTATAACATATACCTGTCGGCTAATTCCCGCTGGCAACAGCCAGTTGCAGGGAACCCCATGTCCGTCAGTACCTGTATTTGTACCGGGATTGCGTGGTTCCGTCGGGTTGGTCTCTCTAACATTGGACCCAATTCAGCACATAGCTCCAAAAGCTCTAAATCGGCTTATGAGCCCATAGCCCATAGCCCAGAACCTAGAGCCATCATCATGGGCCAAAAAATCTTCGTGGTCCCTGAACACCTGTTCCCTTCTGATTCTGCCATTGGCGGAATCTTCAATGCCAGCATGTCCATTATGTTGTGTTGTGCACGAATGTGTTCGCGGTATTTATGTGTTTTCAGCAATGAGACTGATTGTTTCACACCGTGTCCAAATGATCGTGATAATCACGACCACCACTTATCCATTTACATTTCATCAGTGTAGATTAAGTTAAGATTTGAGTTGGATTCTATATTTTACTTATATATTTATTCACTATTATAAATATGTGACTGAATAAGTGAAATTAAATGTACGGTGTATGACTCACTAGCACAAGGAATTATTATATATGCACTGCTGCCACTCACATTATTGCTCACCCTCTTCCCCCGTATTTTTCGTCGTATAAATACAGGTCGTATTTTTTTCTCCAAAATGTTCGCACGCATGGGTCAGAGTTGGCGTACATATGCGCACATTCATGCTGGGTGTCCCTGCTTAGACTGCTGCCCCCACGACCTGACCCCAGATAAGCGGCAGATGATGGATGGATGGATGAGGGAAGTCATAGCTTTAGATACCAGGCTGAATTATAACCAATACAAGGCAATTGCGTAGATTTTCGGGTTGATGTGCCAATATTAGTAGACAATGGAAGTGTAGGATAGCCAGGCAGACTGAAATTCTAATTAGTGTTTTATTCTTGTAGAATTTCAAGGTTTTTACATAATTCCAAGTCTTCATTGTTGTGATCTAGGCTGGAGTCTCAGCCATTCATTCTCATAATTGAGTACCTCTCTCATGACTAGGTTTCATGGCGTGAACGAGAGAATCGGCATAAAGAATTACGAAGACTCTGTGTTTTTCTACTTCAAGTTCATCCAGAACTGCGACGTCAGGGAGCTGCCGGAGCCCCACGGCAGCCTGCACGAGCTGTGAAGCTCGCGGGCCGCTGAAGCTCCGTCGCTGTTTCAGCGAGGTGTAACGCTACTGCAGATGAGGGGTGACGGTGGTGTGGCTCCCTGCGAAGGGGGCCCTAAGCTCATACACCACCCACTCACTTTGGCCTGATGCTGCTAATACCTGCTGACGCGATACATTTTGACTGAAATTCTAAGATATGTTAAACCTAAATCTAGTTTGTGTTGGAAATTGTTCTACTGAAATAGCTGCATCTTCAATTGATCGTGTGATGTCTAAGCTCAGGGTTCTGTCCTTAAAGTCCTTAAAGTCTTTTTAAAATATTAAATTTAAGGCCTTAATTGCTATTAAAGTGTCTTAAATCCATCTGTTAAGCATATGAAAAATGGCACAAGCTTGGAAAATAACAATGATTTACCATGTTCTTGAATGGGATGATTGTTTATGTTGCCACCCATTTGTACACACACATGTATGAGCGAAACCAGCAACAATCATTTCTGTTTGCAGGGGAGGGAGGGACACTAGCTTCCAGTAACCAACAAGTTACTCTAGTTAGCCACTAAGTAATGTCATCTGCCATTGGTAGGGCAAACTCAATGAAAACTTGTTGGATGACCTGTTTTGCAACTGGTTGAAACCTGTTAAAGAAAATCAATATGAAGCTCATTCAAAGAAGCTCTTCAAAGTGGGCACAGTGGGATCAAAGCCGTGGAATCCCATACGCACATAGAAAAACTTGTTGGATGACCTGTTTTGCAACTGGTTGAAACCTGTTAAAGAAAATCAATATGAAGCTCATTCAAAGAAGCTCTTCAAAGTGGGCACAGTGGGATCAAAGCCGTGGAATCCCATACGCACATAGAAAAACACAAAGTGGCTACAATATCGCCAACAACCCAAAGTAAATGGTGATATTGCTTTTAGCCAATTTTGTTTTGTGAAACTGGCCTTTAATTTAATTTTGAGTGGCATTAAGAAGTCTTCAGGAGTCTTAAATCTAACTTGCTTGAACCTGCAGATACCCTGAAACTAAGATTAGTTTGCCTTTAATTTGGTATGGATGATAATTAAGTACTCACACAGTGTCTCATTCCAGGGTTCCCTGTAGAAAAGTTACAGAACTTTTAAAACAAAATGCCTGGCTGTAATGAGAAGGTTACCTTCAATGGGGGGAATTTTCAGTGTGATTATGAAACTTCTTGCATGACGTTTCAGAGCACTTCCCTGCCCACTGCCCAGTGGTCTGACATTGCAAGCTTCATTTCCCGTCTTTCTTCAGACTGAATGTGGCAACGCTAACTACCGTTAATGAAAGAATTAGAAGCAATGGTTATTATAGTGCAGTATATATTATAGTATTATTACTTTACTGTGCTGGAGTTCTTGCACACCTTGTTTTCCAATGGCACCCAAAGTCATTTTTCTGCTTTAGGCCTAGTTATTGCCCACAGCACGTTCTCACAGATTCTCCAGTAAGTCAGTGATTTTTAATTTTATTTTATTTTTTGTATCTACTACCCTTTCAAAATGATGTTCATAAAGATACTGTTATCACAAAGCAGCTATTTTTAGTTGTATCAGTTCAGAAGGAGGTAAGTGTATTAACCACAGCAGTACACTTTCAGGATATACATCAGTCTGATAGCCAATCAAATGCACAGATAGTGCAAAATCAGCAACGTAGCTTCAGTATCTTATGATGCACTTTGTGTCTCCAATATATAGAAAATGTTACGGCTGTTAGTCAATTTTAAAAAAGCATGTAATCGATCACAGTTTTCTGTGATTAATCTCAATTAATCACACTTAATAGTGAAGCATAATTATTTTCTCTAATCTTTAGACAGACTCAATTTATACAATTTCATTGGCTAAACTGTTGAATTTTTCACTATTACTGCCCTCCCTTCATCTCATTTGGACCCTTCACGGTCCTTTTGTTTGTGGTCCAGTGTGTGTGCTCTGTAATAAAGTCCCCTTCAGTGTACTGAAGTCCAGATATGGATTGTCACTCTACATTCAGGCATGACAGTGATATCTTAAGAGATAGCAAAGACAATCCATGACAACCTATCAAGTCGACCAAACTTTTGTGGTCATCATTTTGGATTTAATCAAAAAGTTTTCAATGGCCGTAAACCTTGTCGGATCTTTACCAAATTTCGCAAAGATGATCTTCAGATAAAGCCTCTTCAAAGTTATCAGACGGATTTTTTTTTCAAAATCATTGATCCGTTTACAGCCTATCAAATTCGGCAGTGAAGATGCCAAGCATGAATAGATCTCCTACCTTGGCCAATCTTTGATCAATTGACGTGCAATTTGCTGTGAATATACTGTATATAACCATACCCATGACAAAATGACATGAAGATGTTTCCATGGCAACTATGCCCTGATAGTCTGCTTGGCCATTATTGCTGCTTGCAGTTATGTTACCTCACAGACCTAACAAAAAATTGAGCGGAAAGTAATACCTTATCAAACAAATGGATAATTTATTGTGGGTTACATGCAATAAAGAAAGATTTAAAAACAATTTATGCAGCATTTATGTTATTTAGCTTTAGCTACCTGTTTGGGGAAAAACGGCAAAAAACTATCAAATTTGAATGACATGGTATACCTAAAAAGTTCAGGTAATGTCAATCGTTCTACACAAAAAAATAAACAGTGTATTTCACAAAACAGTTTGTGAGAATGACCCATATTTTAATATTTGTTTAATGTTTAGCTTAAACTTGTGATATATAGATTATTGTTAAAGAAAGAAGGAAATTGAGGAAACAGTGGATGAAATCCTCACTAGAGGAGAGAGTGGGTATTGACCTCCTGCAAGTGGATCTGAAGGAATGCCTTGGGATGCTGTGAAGAGCAGAAAACCTCAGAAACAGACACAAAAGGAATTCATGAAGATTCGTGAAGGGGTTCTTCACTAAAGAAAAGAGCGGATCACTCAAGGTTCCAAAAAGGAAGCTGGAGGATTACCTGAGGACAACCTCTGGAGACCTCTGAAGACACGAGATAAGGGAGATACCTTCAGACATGCCACCAATAGCGAAGCCAGGATACCTGCTGGACAACAGCCCACCAAGATGGAGCAAGATTGAGAAGGTGGTGAGGAAAGCAAGGGCAGCTTCGGCTCCGGGACCAAATGTTGTTCTGTACAGATTCTATAAAAATGCTCCTAATGTTCTACGATTCCTGTGGAAGCAAATGAAGGTGGCATGGAAGAGACAATTCATTCCAAAGGCATGGCGAAGAGCAGGAGGAGTAATGATCCCCAAGGAAAAAGATGCTTCGAACATCGACCAGTTCCGACAAATCAATCTCTTGAATGTTAAAGGAAAAATCTTCTTTAGCATTGTGGCTCAAAGAATGATGACTTACCTAAAACAAAACAACATGATTGATACATCGGTACAGAAGGCTGGGATACCAGGCTTCTCAGGATGCTTAGAACATACAAGCATGATATGGCATCAAATCCAATCTGCAAAAGGGGAAAGATTTACATGTTTTATTCCTGGACCTTTGGATCCGTCCCCCATTCTCTCATCTGGGTAGCCTTTGACTTCTTCTGGGCCTATCAACGAAACACCGATGAAGGAAGGTGCCCACCTGATGACCCCAGTGAAGCATTTGCTCCTCATGCGGGTTGCTGAAAACATATCGATTGCCTCTTTCCCACCCCAGAACATCAAGAAAACATCAAGAAATTGCTGATTATCTTAGGGATTGTAGCAACAAGTCCTTTAGCTAAACAAACTTAATTTCCAACAAAAATACTACTTGCAAGCAAGTACAAGCTGAATTTGAATGCTTTCAAAAGGTTAGATGCACAGCTGACTATAAGACAAGTAAGAGCATTGTATTATAAGGATGGCTGTTAAATGATTACTCTATTTATTGAATCATACACCTTGGTGATTAATGATGTATGTCCCATGTACAGATAATCGCATTCATTTAACAGGCCACCTGAATCATATATAATCCCAACCATGTGATTGGTTTCAAATCTTAAACCTATTTAGCAAATAGCTATAAACACGAAATCCTGACACTTTACGACATGAAATACCTTAAGCTGTTAAGGTCTAAGCCTTCAACAAAATAAAACGTGCAAATTATGATATTTTTAACGCATGCCTCCATTTGCCGATCTTTAAAATGAAATAAAGCGGGTGGCACTGGCCTCCACGTGAGATGCTAACTGCATGTTTTGAATTTAGCTCTGAATTCTGAGATTCTGTGCAACATCACAACCTAAAAGTTCATATTTTTTTTTACAACCAAGAAGAAATATTATAGGTATTTATAAAAATCTGTGCTCATATTATTCTCTTATTCAGCTAAGAAAATGAGACAGATCTGTTAATGCGAGCAAAGAAATAAAAACACGGTATGACTAAAATTAACGCAAAGTATGAATGCAATACATTTCCCAGCCATAGAAAATATACAGATACATGGTTTGCATGGTATAAGGGTTTATGTCAAACTGCAATCAACAAAACTCAGTGTTGTGTAATTGTAAAATGTAGGATTATTAAAATATTAGTTATTTTCTGTACAGAGTGTTAGATACAGAAGTATACTCAATACTTAAGAGCAATTCGTAAAATCTGTGTGACTGTGGCAAAGAAAGCGGATGAGGACTAGCAGAAAAACCGCAGTCGTCTCTAGGGCCAGTCACAGCACTTGCAGTTGTTGTTGAAAACCAGGCGACTGGGGCATTGCTGGACATATGTCATATCGTGGGCACAGTTGTAGAAAACATTGCGGTCGTCTACTTTGGGGTAGAGTCCGTCAGGCCTGCCGGAGCAGAAGCCACTGCCGTTGGGTTGTTTGGTCGTTGTTTGGGGGGGTTCATGGGTGGTCATTGTGGGGTCACTGATGCCAGTGCGGGGTGATTCAGTGGTGGTTGTATTACGTAATGACCTTGGGGTTGTAGGTGATAGCTGGGGGGGCTCTGAAGTGAGAAAAAATAGAACTCTAATACCGTTTGGACATTTAAGCAGATAGTAAAATCTTCTCGTGCATTAAATTTCACATACAGCACTGTTTCATAATGTAATGTTTTGGAGATTTTTCCTATAGCTGAGTAATAATACCAGAGTGATCTTTAAGGGTCTGCAGGCAGATGCCACTGACAAACTGCAAAGCCGGTTGGAATGGCAAACCTGAAATGAGAAGCTTGCGCAGATGACTGATCAGAGGATATTTTCCTTTTCCACAAAACTGGCCAGAAAAATCATCCAGGTCCAGAGACCAGACAAAGGCTCCTCCAAAGCTGTTGTTTTGAAGGTACCGCACCTAAAGGAATATAACAGGAAGTTAAGAATCACGGCTTATGGTCTCCAGCATACATGCTCCTCCTCCTAGCCCTCTACGAGATGCTCAGGCCGGATATCCTAGAGCATATAGATCTTTTGGACACTATTACATCATATTCATATTAAGTTATCTATAAGTCTCTAACCATAAATGAATTTGTTTACCTTGGTCTCAAAGCTTTCCTGGTTATCAAATCCCACCCACTCATTTGCTTTGGTGGCATATGGAACCTTCTGGTCCTCAATCCACTGAGTATTGGTACCTTGCAGGAACGTACAGATCTGGAGAAAGATTTGAAATCTTTTAAATACGCAAAAAGCTGAATTCATAGTTGGCAGACAGTATGAGTTTAATGGATACTTGGCTTACTTCATAGCTGGACCAGAAGCCGCCCTCACGGGTATACGGGCCGGCTGAGGCGGGTCCGTTAGCTGGAGCTCTGACTCCATTTGCTTGAGAAGCCAGGAGAAACGTGCGGCCATAGGTGGCAAAGCCCATCCTCAGCTTCTCCACAGGGGCTCCCTGATCTCTCCAGTACCTCATGGCAAAGTCCTACAGAAGGGAATGCAGAACACACGATAAAGCACCAGTGCACAAGAGAGCCGTGTGACTCCGAGGTGTGTCGTTGTACCGTGTTGAAGTAGATGAAGTCTCCCGTGTCATGGCTGCCCTGATACAGGGGACTGTTATGCCCAGTAAAACTCTCCCAAGAACCATGGAAGTCGTAAGTCATCACGTTGATGAAATCCAGGTACCTAAGACAAGCATTATGAAGACCAACATTTCTCATATAAAGCTTTTGTTTACATCATTGCAGTATTTACTTTTTGCTTGTCTAATTAAAACATCTATAAATTCTGTTTTTCAACCTAAAGATCCAGACTTACTTCCCAATTTCAGTAATTTCATAAGCACTGTCAATGTTCCCTTTCCCAGCAGCCACTGCAGCCGTAAGCATCAGTCTGGGACGTCCTGTTTTTCTGCCTTCATCCTTGTAGGCCTCTGAAAGCTCCTGCAGTTTTCAGTCAAAGGCAGAGGTGGATACTTTAGGTCCAGAAAGTCAAAATCCACACTAAGTATTTTGGTTCAACCAACCAGTTGAGGATGAAGAGTCAGTAATAGTACTGAACTGGTTGGTTGTCACAAAATCTAGGTTTGGATTTTTACTTTCTGGACCTGAACTGTCCACCTCTAGTCAAAGATTAAATCTAAGTCAGTATTTATAAGCAGAGTGCAGCCTGAGTTCAACTAAAAATTCTTGGGTAACCTTGCACAGCAGTGTGAATCTATGTTTGTCCTCTGGGGGGCTCCCTCGAGCCCCAGGATACTCCCAGTCGAGGTCCAGCCCATCAAAGCCATACTTGCGCAGGAAACTGATAGAAGAACTGATGAATGTCTGTCTATTAGCAGATGTTGAGACCATGGTGGAGAACCTGTGGGGAGTTCAGGAGCCATATTAGTGGTTTTTGGGTTTGTTATTAATAAGAATGACTCATAAGTTCAAAAGTGCTTCAAAACAAGTGACTCACTGGAAGAAAAAAAATCATTGGACCCAATACATTTAGCTAATTGTTAACAACAGATTAAGAATAAGGAGAAACAGTGCATGACTGCAACTCCAGCACAAAAATCCTCATATGCGGTATGTCGAATAGTTCTGTTACTCACTTAGCTGTACCAAAATTCCATCCACCAACAGCCAGAAGAGTTTTAAGAGTGGGGTTTCTGTTGAGAAAATCCAGACCAAATGATATGGTTCTTATATAATGTACACTTGTGATTTTTTCAGTACTAAAATAATGATTTGCAATTTTGGTATATTTTATACTGTTTGTGACACTCACCTCTGTTTTAGCGCATTAAAGGACTGGTACAGAGTTTCATCATTCCACTCATAGGTAGAAAGCTGATTGGCGTGGTTGATGACAGAGAAAGCGTAGATCAGGTGAGTGCACAGGTTGGGATCTATGTCATTTGGTAGGTATTTCCCAATTCCAGGTCTGTACTGGGACCAGTTTGTGAAGTAGCATATAAGCTGTGAAGTAGAACCTGCAGCAACAGACAGTGGGATCTTACCATAACATTATGTTAGTGGCATGATACTGGATCAGTACCGAAACATTGTCAGAGTTACTTCCCAGTACAATATTAAAGTTAAATGAACTCACCCAAGTGGCTTAGAGCAAGAAGGAAGAGACCTATTAAAAAAACATACAATTGCTTTCTATGAAAACAGAACTGGAAACATGCAATATATGCATTTTATATATACGTATTATAAACTTCTAAGTAAAACTTTCCTTAAATCTCTCATCTATAGAGCATTACAGCGCAACTATAGTATATTATAATGGTCCGTATAAGAATTACTAAAGCATTTCAGTATATTGAACTGACAGTCATAAGGCATTACAGTGTTGATTATAATACCTCATAATGCATGAGTGTTATGATACTTAATGCACCATGAATGATGCTTTGTAATGCATTATAGATTAGTTTCATTGGAGCGTTATGAAATATTACAATCAACACTATACAGTAGAACCTTGGGAGTCGACCGTTCCTGCTAAAACTTGAATGGGTCGAGACACGTTCACCTCTACCATTTCCGACCCCGAACGGGTCGGTCGAGAAAAACCAAGCCGCATGTCGTCCGAAAACTCCGAACACGATAAAACACAACAGACCTTCTAAAACCTGCCCGGATCGATACGTGTCTCTGATGGGCTGCGGACAAAAGCAAGAGCACCTGCTGGGATGCTGATGCATATGAATCGCTCTCAGTCTCGCCGTACCTCTCCACCGAGTTTGACGTGCGAAAGCTGTATTCCTGTGTTCGGTGTGAATTTTTTTTGTGCTTTATCTACAGTACATTTAGTGATGCAGTAAGCGGGGCCACTAAGAAAGTGAGCAGTGATATCAGCAAACCCAATAGGAAAATAGTGAGAGTAACTGTACAACTTAAAAAGGAAATTAAAGCGAAACTTGAAGGTGGTGCACGTGTGTCTGTTCTTGCTTCGGAGTATGAAATTGACATTTATTTAATGTTTATCGCTTTTGTATGTGTGCTTTTTCATGTGTATATTAGTTTTACATTGATTGTTAATGTTTTTTTTCCATTAGTTAGGTAGGTAGATAAGCTTAAATAGGCAATCATTTGCCGGTCTGGAACGGATTAAATTAATTTACATTATTTCTTATTGGGAAATTCGACTTGGACCTCGACCAAATCGCAACTCGACCAGCCTCCTGGAACGAATTAAGTTCGTGTTCCAAGGTATCAATATAATATCTTATTACTGTCACTAAAGGATGTTGTAATGCTTTATAAATTCTTATATTGACCCTAACATGTATTATACATACTTTGTAATGAATTATAGATGAGAGCTTCAAGTAAAGTATTACCAACTTCATTCAAAATGAATAATAGAGAATACATTAAAATATACTGTTAAAAATTACCTGTAGATTACTTACCTCCTAGAGCAGTAAAAGTTCTCATTGTAATTGCCAGGCTGGAAGTGTATCTGAGTTGAAAGAAAGAAGTGGACAAGAAATGACTCAAATTGGCGTGACTTTAAATGAGTGATGCATTAATCCGGGTAGTCTCATGTCCGATGTTTAGGTAGGCCTACCGTCTTTTATAAGTTATGACCAGGATGATGTCATACGTGTTGTGCTGAAGAAAGAAGGAAACTAATGTGACTGTCATTCAGGTGTATATGAATGTTTTTTGTTTTTTTTTTGCGGTTTTACAAAAACTACTGCATCATGCGCCACTATTACAAAACTGCATTTAGCAACAATAGCCTGCATAATGCTGCACTGCTGGAAAGCAGAAACCCATTTCAGCTTCTAGAATAATCATTTCAATTTATATATTAAGTCATTAATTAATTCACATGCATGTAGCCTGTTATACTCACTTCACGGATTATCTGGTGTATTTCCAGTGATTCTCTGCAGAACGAAAGCTATTTTCACCTTGGTGTCACCATTTCACAAAAACTTAGACATGACTGACCTCTCTTTTATATCCTTACTTGCACTGTCTCATCAGACAGGCAGGGTGTGAATAGAAACGTGGGTCCCTTCCTCAGTCCTCTGTTATCACGAAAACAATACCTGAAAATCGAGATTGGTCACGAAAACAATATATACTTCAAAATCGAGATTTGTCACGAAAACAATACCTGAAAATGGAGACTCGTAACTAAAACAATAGGCTATAGGCCTATACTTGAAAATCGAGATTGGTCACGAAAACAATACTTGAAAATCGAGATTGGTCAGATTTTTTTTTTTAAATGACAAAAACTATTATTAACACTTGTAAAAACTGGAAATGTGAAAACTGATCGTAATCCCTGGTTGAATAATATGGTTGCCAGCAGGTGTGTCGCAATCCTTGGCCATTTGGGGATGAAGCCCCAAATGAATCTGAACGAGCCCAACACTGTGACTCAAAGGGGTGAGAGTGATTATCAAATGGTGCGGGACGCCGTGGCACTGCGAAGGGTGCACGAAGCACAATAAATCCCAGGTTGAGAGATGTAGCGGAACCAGAGCATAGGAGCGGAGTGGAGCGGAACGCTGCCCGCGACTCTCCCGCTCCCAGCCACTGCAGACCGCTCCGGAGTTGCTAGGGTCCGCGGTTTTCCCATTGCGGGTAAATATTGGAAGGTTGCAGGTTTTCGGGGTCTTTTCATAATGTTCCGCGGTAGCGGACGGTAAGTTATATTGAATCGCTTAAAGTCAGACAGACGCACACGGAAAGCAGGGTCGCCAACTCTCACGCATCTGGCATGACACTCACGCTTTCAGACTCCCACGTAAGCAGTAGGTGTTACGGCAAATCTATATGATTCTATTATAAATCTAAAATTAGCTCCATCAGAAGCGCTGGGGTAGTTTTCAAACAAAGGTAATAAAACCATTACACACATGTGAATGTGTACCCGTCCTTGTCTCGAATAAAAAATCTCACTCCAGCCAGCTGACCAAAGTTGGAAACCAAAGTCCGTCTAGGTGACGTCATTGTGTTTAACTGTGGTTTTTAAAATGTTAAACATTTTGAATGTGATCAGCATACAAAATACTGGTTTATTTCTTTGAGATACAGTATACTGGTATTTCAAATATTGCTCTAGTTTCAGCTTCCGTTTGGCGGCTTTTAAGCAGACCTGGGACTGGAGATGTTTGCTGGACCTGGCAACTGTCCCTCAGTATCGCTCCCCTCTCCGATGAAATCGCTCACCGCTCGCTCCAAAGAAGAAAACAATCTGCATTGTATGTCATCTTAAACTGTAGCCTGGCATCAAAAAAAACTGAGCAACCAAATCCACATCAAAGCAGAAATGACGTCAGCGGGTTGTCAACTGTGGTCAGCTGGCTGGCATTGGATTTTCTATTCGAAACAAGCCTGAAGACGCATTTACATGTATGTAATAGTTTTATTACCTTCCCAGATAGCACACATATGTTGAAATGACATTGATTTCATATCAGACAAAGAGGTTGAAACAACGTTGATCTTCAATGTTGATTTAGCATTGATTTTGCTCGTTGAAAAGGCCATCTATCCAACACTGAAAAATCAACCATTTATGATAAGGATTCAATGTTGTTTCAACACTTGTTTGGCAACTTCTTTATCCATTGATTCAATGTTGAATATTTTCAGTACTATCAATGTTGACTCAGCATCTTAATTTCAATGCTGAAAAAATCACTTTATATCAACATTGAATCAAGGTTTTGCCACCATCAATTTTTCAGTATTGAAAATCTGACCAAAAATCAACTCAGTTTCAACGTTGACAATTTAACACTGACCACAATTCAATGCATTTCACTATACTTCAGCGCTGAAACAATAACATGATATATGCTATCTGCGTTGTAAATAGTATGTAGTGTTTGCAAACCACACCACAGTTTTGATGTAGCTAATTGTAGGTTTGTAATGGAATAATATAGATTTGCTGTGAGATTTCTTGCATACCTTGCCAAACTGGAGCGAGACGGAGCGAGAGACAAGGGGATGCTCCTCTTCTGGCCTCAATCCTCCCACACTCGCTCCTGCTCCGCTCACATGCTCTGAGTGGAACCAAGGTTCATGTTTTTCAAGTGGGAGCAACAGCAAACAGTGCCATTGAGTTTTTTTTCTTTCAGACAACGAAACAAACATACAGTAAAACAAGGACATATACACTACAGGCCAGAAGTTTGGGCCCACCCTCGGATTGATTTAAAGAAAAAAATAAACGATGCACGTGCTTTGTCAAACTTTTATTACAGGAAAATATTAGAAATACTTAAAAACAAATGTAACAGTAATTTATAGTGTGTAAGTTATATAAAGTACAAGTTATTTAACCACAAAGGCTGAAACTATTGGTTTTGATTAAGGCATAAGGTCTGTCTTTAGTGCATTGACATTCACTTTGTGTTCGGAATTCTATTTACTCCCGGCCTCTCTTGATTGTGTCTTAATAAACTAAATGATAGCCACTTGTTTTTGTATTTGTTACTATAACTGTTAATTCTGTAAACCTTTGTGAACGACTGAAGGAACTAGTAAAGGAACAAGTAATGCATAACACAAGTTAAATACTGATCTCATGTTTGTTTATCATTAATGAATCTTGATGCAACTTTTCTCCCAAGTAGTTATTATATTTGTTACTATATCTGTTATATATCTTTAAATCTCTACAGGTTTGTCAACTTGCTGGCATGAGATTTTCAATTCAAGATAAGTCTGCATGCTCATTTACATGCATTTAACAGTTTTATTACCTTGTAAATAGTCTGTAGGGTTTGCAAACTATCCCAGTGTTTTTGATAATCTTAGGTTTATGATGGATTAATATAGATTTGCCGTGAGATTTCCTGAGTGAGCCTGAGAGTCAAAAAGCATGAGTGTCCCGTCAGATGCGCAAGAGTTGGCAACCCTGTCTCTGTTTCTCTCAGGTGCACGATGATTTATATCGATGGAATGCTAAATGCATGCCACTAGATGGTGATACAACAAAGGAATTCCCTTTTTACCAAACTGTACAGGTAGTCCTCAAGGACCCCCCCAGCAGGTCCACTTTTTTTGCTCCCTCCCAGCTCCCTTCCAGACAATCCACATTTTTGCTCCCCCTGTAGCTGGGGTGGAGCAGAAACATGGACTGCCTAGGGCTCCCCAAGGACCAGATTGAGAGACACTGCTCTCTATAAGCAAGGGCAGATCAGGCTATTTTGAGAATTCTACAGTCTTTGAATGTGTGTAGCAACCTACTTCGAATGTTCTGCAATTTGCTGGAGGAGCAACATCATGAAAGGGGATGGAAGGGAACTAAACAGGCATGCATTTCCCGAAAGCTTTGTAACACTAAGTTCTTCGTTATCTAGTAAGATCAATCATTAATTATGTGTTTCTTGAATCCCTTGGTAACTAGAGTAGTTCATAATCTTGCTCGTAAATTTGCTTGTGCTCCAACCCAGTCTTTATTTTCTATGTTGTTCTTTATTTGATATTTTGCCTGCTGTCCTGCCACAGAGACCCAGAGATTGTGTCACATCCTGCCTGCCTCTTCCTCCTGACCCTCCTGTTTTCTCCCTGCCGTGGCCCTAACAAGTCACGCCTGTTACCTGTTACTGAACCTGTGGAACCTCTTGTTTCTGCTCTCGTGTTAATCACTCCAGTTCCAGGTCTCGTAATGTGCCGCCAGCTCCAGCCCAGTCTCCAGGTGTCCCACTGGCTCCAGCACAGTCTCCTGATGTCCTATTGGCTCCAGCACAGTCTCCTGATGTCCTATTGGCTCCAGCCTAGTCTCCTGATGTCCTTCTGGACCCGCCTATCATGTGTATGACTGCTTCTCAGTTCTGCCTTCCCCAGTCCAGTCGTTCCCTTGTGTTGCCTGTGCCTGTTCTTGTTATATTCCTCACACTTTGATCCCATGCAATCTTGTTAATTTACAGTTCCTGTTTGTTTATGCTCAACCCTTTTCATATTTGTAGCCCCTTGAATCCCACCTGCGCCTGTGGAAAAGGGTTCTTGGCACTAGGCCTAAATGTCCAGGTGATATGCAACCATCAAGGACATTTTACAGACATTGTCGCCAAATGGTGTAGGAGTACAGATGGTGCTTATATCTGGTCCCGCTTTGGAGTGTCAGATGGCAAAGGATGGTGTGTTTGCTGGTGGCTGGTTATTGGGAGACAGCAAATATCCTCTTAGATAATACCTGCTGACTCCAGTGTTGAATCCCCAAACCTTGGCTGAGGAGAGGTACCACACCGCACACCAAAGACACACACTGCTGTAGAGGGTGCTTTGGGCGTGTGGAAGATTCTGGTGATTCTGGTGCCTACACAACGAGATACGAGATACGAGACTTTTATTTGCCATTTGTGCATAAAACCAACATTCCAGGCACATTGGAATTATTGTGCGGAGCTCTCTGAGTGAAGTAGATAGAACACTTATTTACAGAAAAAAGAAAAAAGATGGTAATATCTACACAAAAGGAAAGAAATTTAAATATAAGTACTGATCAAGAACGAACTATGAAAGAACTTTATAAATAAATACAAAAAGTACTGCATGCAAATTATTGCACAGCTGCATAGAAGGCAGATGTTGCCCATATATAATATTGCACATTTAGACTATTGCACATCTTATCCTGTTGCACATTTAGGATATTGCACATCCATCCTGTTTCACAGATGATTTTAATTGCACATGACCAGTGAAGTGAGGTCGTGTAGAGTTATTATTTTATTTTAGGTTATGTTCATTTTTTTTGTTTTGCCATCAGTCTGACTTTTTTCCTTTTGATTTTTTTGTCTGAGAAGTCCTTGGGAAGATCTTCCCCTGAATGTTGCTTTGCTGCTCAGCACCCCTGAGGTACACATCATCACTTCTGGATTTAATTAGCGAATGGGCTGATACTTGGCAGATGAAATTTAACACAGATAAATGCAAGGTAATCCATGCAGGGAGCAGAAATATAAAGTACAGATATTTTATGGGTTCCACTGAAATAAAGGTAGCTGATTACGAGAAAGATCTCGGTGTGTATGTTGATGCTTCCATGTCCCACTCTCGCCAGTGTGGGGAAGCAATAAAAAGGCGAACAGAATGTTGGGTTATATCTCTAGATGTGTGGAGTTTAAGTCAAGGGAGGTGATGTTACACTTACATAATTCCTTGGTAAGACCCCACCTAGAATACTGTGTGCAGGTTTGGTCACCATACCTCAAGAAGGACATTGCTGCCTTAGAAAAGGTGCAACGAAGAGCTACGAGAATGATTCCTGGTCTTAGAGGAATGTCTTATGAGGAGAGGTTAGCGGAACTGAATCTGTTCAACCTTGAGCAAAGGAGACTAAGGGGGGATATGATTCAGGTCTATAAGATTCTAACGGGTCTGGATGCTGTTCAGCCAAATGACTATTTCAATATTAGTCTAAATACTAGAACTCGTGGCCATAAGTGGAAATTAGCGGGAGAACATTTTAAAACAAATTTGAGGAAGCACTTCTTTACACAGCGTGTAGTTAGAGTATGGAATAGTCTTCCTGCTAGTGTAGTGGAAGCTAAAACCCTGGGTTCCTTTAAATCAGAGCTAGATAAGATTTTAACAACTCTGAGCTATTAGTTAAGTTCTCCCCAAACGAGCTTGATGGGCCGAATGGCCTCCTCTCCTTTGTAAATTTCTTATGTTCTTATGTTCTTATTCTCTTCCGTTTTCCAACAGATCATAAACAGGAGTAATACGGCCTGAGAACTTGACCGAGAGTACGCCTGAACTTCATCTTGCAAGTCAAAAGAGAAATTCTTTGGGAAGTCCTCCAAAACATTTTCCACCCCTGAGGTACACATCATGTACGCTTTATTATTCTTATGAAAGAAGCAGATTAAAAGAAAACGAGATTTGTTTCTGTGATTTACTTTCTAAGTTTAGTTTCGTAACTCAAGGGTTCCCCACATCCAGTCCTGGGGGGCCAGAATCCAACAGGGTTTGCAGGTTTCCCTGCTCAGGCGCATCTAAATCAGCTAATTACCAGGCTTGTTTGAACAGGGAGATATGCAAACTGTGTTGGATTCTGGCTCTGCAGCACAGGAACTGGGGAATCCTGTTTTATTAAGTTGAATTTGTAGGAACAATAATACATAAAAGTAATACAATGGTAATAAAAGTAATTACATACAGGACTGTTCTGTACCTCAAGTCAGTGAACCACTGAAGCCACAGAATGATTTGACGAGCGTCACAAAGTAGTGCATGTTAAGTTCTATGGGACA